AAGATCATTTGTTTAGGCAACCTTTTGATAGCGTCATCGAGGGACTAAGATCTTATTTGTTTTGTTTTGCCAAGATACTTTGCATGCATACCATGACCATTTATTTTAAGGCAACCAAGTGGGTGAAACCCTAGGGGTGCTTGTGTGCAATGTGTTGTCATTTTACATGCTTTTGTTTGTCTTGTATTAGGTCATGCTATTTGTTGATTTTTGTCTTATCATGCAAACCCTAGTTTACTACACAATTATATAATGCGATAAATTGCATAAAATAAATCTAAGCTATTACAACAATTATTATGGGAGGGGGGATACAAGTTTTTGAATGGGGATATTTGCACAAAATAAAACCCTAATTTACTATTACAACCCAATTGAATATTTGTAAATTAAATAAATAAACAAATATTAAAATATGCAATAAAATGTAATTATGCAAAATGTTTTTGTATTTTTATGCATGAGTGAATAATATTATTTAAGTCCTAAAAATAAGAGAAAATAATATTGTTATTTTTGAAAGGGGTAAAACCCTAGTTTTTTATTAAAAGAAATATATATACTATATTTATTTTATTTTTGTCCATTTTTATACAAGAAATAATAAATAATATTATTAATAAGTATTAAAAATTAAAATATGTATTAAAAATGATATTTTATGTGTATGAATAATAAAAATAAAAATGGATAATATTCTTTTATTATTTACAAATCATTTTAAGAAAATGATTTCCATTTATTAAAATAAAACTATTTTATATGTGAAAAAAATAATAAAAATAAAATAAAAATTGCAAAAAATTAAGAAAATATTTTTGTGATTTTTTAATATTCAGAAAAAAATATTAAAGTCAATAAACATAAAAAAAAAAGGAGAAAATATACAAAATATAAAAATATGCAAAGGGGGTGTGGATATCAAGTCAGGGGGTGTGGAAAGTAGAACAAACAGGCCCAAGGCAAAAAAGCCCAAGACAACATCTTCGTCCCTGTCCTTGCTTCCTTTCTAGCGCGCATTTTTTCAAACCTGCAACTCTCTATTCTTTGCATAAAAACAAAAACTTGTAACATGAAACATGTAGCATTTTTTATCACGATTCCAATGATATAAAGTTTGTGACATAACTCTAAAAAACCAGGGAGAATTTCAGTGGCCCTAATTTCTGACCTAATTTTTCCATGAACTTCAAACTTCAAATTCTCACTACTCAGTTAATATAAATGACAACTACGCATATGTACAGCTTCAGCAAGTTAAGGACTACATTTTTGCTTCACAAATCGTGACTTAAGGATGCCTAAATAAGGAGATAGAGATTTGAAAAATACCTTGTTCAACTGAGTTTGGATATGGCAATGTGGGGACTTTGAGTGAGGCCTGAGGATCGTGTGAGCTTCCTTGGAGTTCCCTCAAGCTATTCAAATGCTTAGCTTGTCTTGAGGATGCTTGAAACTCCTTGTAGAAGTCAACCTGCAACCTTCAAAAATGAAAATGGTAATGGCTGAAACAGGGCACACAGTTGCAGTTCAATGGCTTGGATAGTTTGGATGTGATGTGGATGAAGTGTTTCAATGGATGAAAGGCAAAACGCATGAGCCAAAATGAAGTTCGCTTTGATTTTGCAGAAGTTGTCCTGTTTGGGCAGAAATGTGTGTTTTTTGGGTTTGAGGGTGTTTGGGAAGTTATGCACTCGTGTTTCTGCTTGCAACAAGTTTGTGAAGTTGTCTTGAATGATGCCAAGTCTTCTCTTTATCAAATGTCCAAGTTCTGATCCCTTTTGCCTCTTTTCTTGTATTTGAAGAAAGTTGAAGTGACTTAAACCAAAAGCTTGTACTTGCTAGTTGTAGGGCTGATAATAGTATGTATGCTTTGCTTAATTCCTGTGGAAATTGTCTGCACCACAAGAACAAGCCCAATTCTCAAGGCTGATAAAGTTGGAAAAGCTTGCTTTATCAAAGTGGTATTGTGAACTTTATGCCATTTATGGATTAATCTTTTGTACAATGCTCCAAGGATCAAAATAAAGACATTATCCATTGAGTTAGAATTTAATTATGGAGTGTAGAAGGGATTAGGACCTGTAATGCAAGGTACAAGCATGCTATGAACTGATTTGCAACTTGAAGCATTGTAAGCATGGCTTGAACAAAAGTGACAAATTGTCATTTTCTCTTCTTCGATTCTCCCTAACCACAAATGATCTTGGAGAATTATTGGACATTTTGGAGAGCTTGCAACATGATATACAATCCATTTTTGAAATGCATTTTAAGATACCTCTTGGAACTAGGTGAAAAATTTCTATGAAGTTGGGTCAAAAACCTGCCTAAACTAGGGCAAAATTTCACTAAGTTAAAAAGTTTATGGACCCCTATTCACAAATTCATAACTTGAGATCCAATCATCTTTTGGGAAAACTTTGTGAATAAAAGTTGTAGATTTCATGGAGGACTATAACTTTCATGTTGTAAGTTTCCTTTGAATCCAATTGAATCATGGTGAAAAAGTTGTGGAAAGTTGGGAAAAAATAAGAAATTTTTCATACTTAGAAAAATTCTAAGTTATGAAAATTTTCAAATTAAAACCCTAATTTGCAATTTTAGGTTTCTTGGTCAACAAGTTTCATATTTTGATATATCTTGATGAATTATGACCCTTGGCACTTGATTTTGACCAAAAGTCAAAGTTTGACTTTTCAGTGTACAGTTGACTTTTGATCAGTTGACTGCAAAATTCATATGTCAATCCTATGCATTTGAGATCTTTTGAACCATGTGATTAGGTCAAGATGATGCCATCGAGTTCTTGAAATCATATTTGAACCCAATTGGTCATTGGCTAGGTTAAAAATCAGAAATTTCCCTTTCTCAGTCAAAACCCTAATTTTGACCATTTTGCCCTTTTGATGATCTGATCAAATTTCTTGAGGAGTTGTGATCCAAACTTGATCAAATGGTTCATAGGAGCCTAAAATGTTGATGTGGATCAAAAATTATGAAGTTTGACTGTAAATTGGCCATATATGACTTTTCCCCCAATACAGCTGATTCTTAGGTCAACTGTCCAATTGACTGGTCAAAAATGTGATTCAAGGTTTGAAACTTGGAATGGGTAATCTTAGGGGTCCAAGATGGTGTATGGAAGTCACATGAAGCATTGATGGTCCAACAATTCTTGTGCAAACTCAAACCCTAATTTCAGGTCATCAAGGCAAGATGAGGTCTTGAACTGAGCAAACCCTAATCCTGTCTGGAGTCCAAGAAGTCTTGTGAGAAAAATCTTGATAAAATAAGAGGGCAAATTTTGGGGTACAACACTTGTGTTATTCAAAATTAGGATAGATAAAAAAATATGAATAACCCATTTAATTTCTTTCTTATCTTATAATGACGACAACCCCAGAATTGCTTCCCAAAATTCGCCATAGTTGAAGCCCGTTGAAGAACAACCGTGTCTCCACAACCACATATGGGTTTCCTTCGCAAGTTGCCATCTAAACCTCCACCGCTCTTGACATTCGAATCGTATGAACACTGACCTGAGTACGTTAATGATGTTTGCTTCATTTTCCTCAAGCAATTACAGAATCAAAAGGGGAAGAAAATTGTTGAACTCTAGAATTTGGGGGAGTCTGGGATAGAAGAGATTGAAAGAGATGATGCAGTCTTGAAGAGAATGAAAAATATATTTATAACATTCCACATCAGCTGCCACGTATACAAAACAAACGTCTGTTTTTACCTTTTGGATGGAAAGGACTACTGCAGTCCTTTTTGAACAATTAAAGGACCATTTTGGAACTTTTTAAAGATAAGGGACCAGAATGGATCCCGAGGAAAAGTTAAGGGACTAAAAATGATATTTTATCATTAATGATTTGTTTGTTAGATCAATTTGTTAAAAATGATATATTATTTCGTCTTTGCTATGGTTCGAACTCGTGACCTCCAATTTATAGAAGTATAAGATGAAAATGAATTTTGGGATGTGTCACATAGAATTATAAGATGATTTGGCAAATTTATAGTTATACTTAATGATGTGTTAGAGTTCTAATTGATGATGTGTTGTTATAATATTTGATGCATTAAATTTAATATGTTATATAGATATAAGTTATGTAAAAATGTTAATTAACCCTTAGATTTATTCAATTTAAAGGCTATGATTTAGAGTAAGTTAAAAAAACTTGCTCAAATTAATCTTACTCATATAAAAAAAATATAAAATTATATATAATTTTACCATTCTCTCCAATATTATTTAAAATAGAAAAAAAATAAAATCAGTAAATAATGTTTGAGTGAATTTGGTCATTATACAAAAAAAAATCAGGAAATTTTTTTTTATCATTGAATTGACCAAAGCTATTCAACTCATAAAGTGGAGTTTACATTTGATATCATCTGAATCGAATGCCGAGTTATTGAACTATTTTATTTTATCTTGAAAAACATTTGATTAATTTTGTTTCCAACTTCAATGGAAATCTATTTAATTTTATCTCTTTTGAATAAAAATTGATTTTTTATAGAAAAAATTGTATCTTTTCTTTTATTATCTAGTAGTCAGTATTTCATCTCATATTAAATTTCATATAAATTTCATCCTTCGCTTAGTTAAAATAAACATTGATCTAACTAATAATTTATTAAAATTTATTTTACATCAAAAATTAATTATTATCATGGTTTCATCATCTTGGAAGGAAGAAAAAAAGCAATGACGGTGATTAAACTAATAATATTAAATTAAAAAAAGGAAAAATAATAAAAAAAAATGTATTATTAAATAAATATGTTATAAAATATAGAGATGGAAAATGGGGATAAATTCGAGATTTAATTCAAATCTTTAGTTAGCAAAAATAAAGGATAAATTTTGTGAATGATTTGTATTTAAACTAATACTCTCTCTTATTTATTTCTATATCCTAACACTATTCTTCACGTGGCTAATAATTTTTTTTTCCAAAATAATCACACTTACTCAAATCATGGCATCATCATCTTTGCAACAAGAAAAAGGTATTGATGGTGATGATACTAAAAATATTGTGTTGAAAAAAGGAAAATGGCAACCAGAAGAAGATGCATTATTAAGAGAATATGTGAGAAAATGTGGAGCTAAAAAGTGGGATAAAGTACGAGAGAAAACAAATGTTCCTATAGATGGAAAAAATTGTCGTTTTAGATAGTTAAATTGTGTAAAACCAAGTTTGAAGAAATATCAATTTAGTGAAGAAGAAGGGAGAAAACTTATTCATCTCTATAATCAGTTAGGACCTAAATGGTCTCAAATGGTTTCACAGGTTTGTTTATTCATGCTTCACATTTATATGAAAACACAATTAAAGTTTATTAGATTTTCTATGATTGTAACCATAAATTATAGGTAATGATTTTTGTATGTTCTTTAAGATTAAGGTTTTTTTAGTAAATAAAACAATAATCTTTTGCATGAAGTTTACTTATAGGTCTGACTCTTCTTAAATCATAAATTTTGGAGATTTAAATATTCGGTTAGAAAATATATTAAGTAATGAATTTTAGTGATATAATAATTTTGTATTTGTTTTTGTTGTGACAGTTTCTTGGAAGAACCAATAACGAGTTAAAGAATTTTATTAATTCAAGAAAAAGAAGTTTAAAAAATTCTAGAAATTTCCTCGTTCCAGAAAGCATAAACCATGTTGATGAGTTGAATGAGAATGTTGGAGAAATAATTATTAAAAGGGGTTCTATTAACCAAAATAATAATGCCTCCGAAGAAAAAGAAATGACCCTACTAAGAGTGGAATTTAATGATCAAGACATTCTTTTTGATAACTATCTTGATCAAATTTTTAATGATTCAAATATCAAGTTTGAATCACTTTCAAAGTTGTTTGATGATTCAAATATCAAGTTTGAACCACTCCGAGAATGTTCATACTTTCAAGATATGGATGATATAGTTCCAAAAATTTCATCATGTAATATGTTTTTTGATCAAGATCTTCCTATGCTTCCAATATGTTCATACAATCTTGATGATCAAGACATTCTGCATCGTAACTAACTACCTTGATCAAATTAATTATGAGGAAAATATCAACTTTGAACTACTTTCAACTTTGGTAGATGATTCAAATATCAACTTTGAACCACTTTCAACGTCGGTTGATGATTCAAATATGCATGATTGGTTGATACTTATGGATCTTGCTCATTAAGTTCATGATTAGTTGATTTGGCGTGTGGCATTTCTCATGTTGTAAAAGTAACAGTTATCTGTTTTATTATGTGTTTTTAAAATCGTTATCTTGAGGTAGTTAATTGTTAGAGAAGATACCCACTTTGAAACCAATTGGTGTGGATAGTTTAAAGCTAAAAGTTTAGTTTTGTATCTTCAAACTATTGAATTTGAATTTTCTTTAAGTAGTTCTTTCATGATTTATTGGGTTGGTCATTTTTAATGAAAATATTTGAGTGGATTAGATTTTATATAAAAGATGAACATGTTTTCATTTATTTTTTCTATTGGAGCATTTTAACCTAAAAAGTGTGTATTATACAAATGTAGAAACACCATAACTTATATATGGTACGATTATTACTATTTTATTATTATAAAATATTCTATCATTATTAATATAATAATATCGTTATTAATATAAAGTATTTTTATTTTAGTAAAATGTATACGTGTTGCATATACGTGACTTAGCATTTTATAGACAATTTATTAATACAGTATAAAATTAAAAATATATTATTTAAAAGCAGACCGATTAAGGCTCTTATAATTGTTTACATCGAATAAAAATTCCATTATAGATGAAAGAAAAGGCTTAATTAGACATTTATTCATTTTTAACTTAATTTATGATTTGAATTTGATATCTTAGTTAATAAATGTTATTTGTTATTTTTTAGTCTTTAAAATTTAACTCGTTTAGTCAATTTAGAAAAAAAAATTGGAATAACTAAGTATTAAATTTTTTTTCGCAAATAACCATATTTCAGAAGACTCTCTAAGGGAGGAGCCATCTCACTTGGCGCCTACACCTATTTTTTAAGGCGAGGCGCCATCTCACTTGGTGCCTAGGTGCTTAGGGCTTGCCCTAAGCCAAGTGAGATGGCGCCTTAGTGCATTTGCTAGGGAAATTTTCGCTTTTTTTTTTCAATGCGGTGCGTTACGTATTCGATATAGGATCAACAAAATTGACTTTTTATTTACAAAATATGATTACACGCATAACTATTACATAAAAATAGATTAATCAGTGGTCCCCTGGAACCCGGTAATGACCCCCGGTTCCACATCCCCGTCCTCGCCTTTCCCGTGTTGGGTTTCGTCGTGTTTTCTATTGTGGCAGGGTTGATGGCCCAGCGAAGTCAATGCATTCCGGATCCATGAAATCAGTCAGATCTCCATATCTAGAAGATCCTCTTTGGTACAGTCGGTTACCCATACCCTCAAAGTTTGGTCGTGTTGGCGGTGGGTGGGGTTCCATGGTTGGTCTGTAGCACTGGTCGTCGTCTGAGTACGGGGTAGAAAGAAAATGGATCTTGGGGTGTTTGGTATTGAGGATGTTGGGTGGTTTGGTGATATTGTGGTTGATGGTTAGTTGGGTCGGTTGGTTCATAATCTTCGGACAATCCCAGATCAGGGCTAAGGTTGGATGTTGAGGGGCTCATATTGGAATATGCAGAAGACTGAAATTGTGTGTGGGGTATGCGGGTGTGTTGGTATTGTGATTGAAATTGCGGTTGGGCGTGAGGCATATGGGGTATTGGTACTGAGGTGGTGATTGTGGTTGGTTGTGGGGCATGTGAGTGTAATTGTATTGTGGTGGTGACTGTGGTTGGGTGTTTGTGGTTCTGTTTCGTCTCGGGGTTGGTGGGAGGTTGATGTGTGTTGGGTTTTTTGTTGGGGAAATGAGGGTTGTGCTCATTATGTTCGTGGGTCAACCAAATACCTTGGATGAGACACGTGCATTTCAGGGGTACTAACCGATCTATACCAAGATAAATATTGATCTGTGTGTCGCATATTACCATGGTTGAGGAAAACTGGGAATTGCAAGACATGTCGGTGACGCCTCTGTCACATCTTACACCATTCTGGAGCAAAGTCTTTCCAGTTGGTAAGATCCCATTGGGCGTCGACCCTTTTGAGATGCCATGGGGACAAACAAGTCGGATCGCTGGGTATCTCTTGATGCATTCCAAACTGCATCTTCACACGGTCGTTGTGGTACATCTCCACAACATTGAATCGTATGATTGCAGTCTTTGCGCTCCAAATTACTGCATCCTCTGGGTTTGGTTCATGGCCCAAACCCAAATATGGTCTCCAGACAAACTGCAGATAAAATTAAATCACTACGAAAAAAACAATTTTTGGCAGCGCATCTACGAAAGCGCTTTTAAGAGAAAGCGCTTTCGTAGCCTTTAAAAAAAATTCGCTTAAAAAAAGCGCTTTTATAGGGTTTCCTACGAAAGCGCTTTTCAGAAAGCGCTTTCATAGGTATTTGAAATATCTAACCTACGAAAGCACTTTTGAAAAGCTCTCTTATAGGTGGCCCTATAAAAGCGCTTTTGAAAAGCGCTCTGAAAGGGGGACCTACGAAAGCGCTTTCTAAAGCGCTCTTATATGGGGGACATACGAAAGCGCTTTTTACCTCAGAAACGCTCTCATATATGGGTCTTAGAAAGCGCTTTTAAAAGCGCTTTCGTAGCCTATATCCCTGAATACGAAATTTGCCCTCAATTGTTCATTTCTTCGTCTTCTTCATTTCTTCTTCCTGTTACCGTTCGTTTCTTCTTCCTGCCGCCGTTGCTGCCGCCGTTCATTTATTCCTGCCGTTGTTCCTGTTCCTGTTCGTTTGTTTGTCGTTGTTACTGTTCGTCTTCCTTGCATTCCGTTCCTGTTCCTGTTCGTGTTCGTCCCATTGTTTCGTCTTTCTTCCCTCTTCTTCAGTCGTCGCCGCCGTTCACTGTGTTCTTGTCCATCTTGGTAAGTTTCTTCTTCTTCCATTATCTGTTCTGTTATTTGACCGTTTAGTTATGCATGTTGTAACCTCTAAAACCTTTATATTGCCACTATATTTGCAGTTGTGGATTGTAATTTAGAACTATAATTTTGATTTCACTGAATGTGTGACTCCAAGGATTGCTTGCAGAGGTATAATTTTGGGGTATAAAATTGGTTGGCTCTAACCAAAATTGAATACTTGTTTGTGTGCAAAGATTGTCAAAGAAAATAAAATAATCGGTAATTTTTCCTTTTTTGTTTACGTTGAGAATTTGTTAGTATGAACAACATAAATGAGTGAATAGAGAATTTTTAATTCATGTTTTAGGTATTTCACATTTTTTGACCTCACTCTTTGGGTTTTTCTTTTGTTTTCTGGTTACAGAATTACTTCAGTTGTTTCTTTTCGTTGCCAATAGTGATATCCTCGATGAGATGGGGCATTGACGCTGGAAGGAAAACTCTGGTTAGACTTGCTAGTTGCTTAACTAAATGCGATAGATAAGTCTTGAATAGTTATTGTTGCATTATCAGAATTTCTTTGTTCTTGTTGTAGGTTGCAACAACTATACTTTTGTTTGTCCTATCTGACCCAGTCAAAGCTCTAACTTATCTGGTAAGCTTGCCTTTAACTTCATTGGTTCTTCTTCTTCCATTATCTGTTCCGTTATTGTGAACCTTTATGTTAAAATAGTATATATCTTTCGACAATCGATCCGAAATATTGAATAACATTCTATGAATTTGTAGCGTTTCCCGGCCTAGTTCGACGTACGACGCTCATTCTCCGCGTTTCTTAGAGTTCGAAACATCTGAGAGGTAACTTTCTTCCTCAAATTACTGGTATATATTGTGATGAATTTGTCTTAAATTGTCTTTCGTATGTTGCATTTTCTTGATACTGATTCATTCCGTGTATACTTTGCGTTTTGACAGAAACGCAGTATACTATTGTTTTGTGCACTAATTAGTTGATATGGATAAGACATGGATGTATTCCAATCGATTGTCGAAAGACTACGAGAATGGTGTTTCTGAGTTTGTTAAGTTTGTTGTTGCGCACGCCAAAGACCCCAGCCGTATGACATGTCCCTGTTTGTATTGCTGTTATGGGAATCGGGTTGACGCAGTTCAGTTGGCATCGCATTTAATTCGGTATGGAATTGATAGGAGTTATACATGTTGGAATATGCATGGTGAGAAAAGTAACGGGAATGTTGAATCGGGGTATGCAAGGACCTATGTTTCAAATGATGATTGCACAGATACATACGATTATGATCGAGTCGAAGAAATTGTAGAAGCGCTTGAAGAAGATCTTAACGATTGTCCCAAAATGTTCGAGAGGTTGGTAAGCGATGCAGAGAAACCGTTGTATAATGGTTGTACAAAATTCACAAGATTGTCTGCGGTGTTAAAAATGTACAACTTAAAAGCCGGCAATGGATGGTCGGATAAAAGTTTCAGAGTTATTAGCCCTTATGAAAGATATGCTACCAGAGGATAATGTTCTTCCCAATCGAACATATGAGGCCAAAAAGATGTTGTACTCCATTGGCATGAGCTATGATAAGATACATGCGTGTCCAAAAGATTGCGTTTTGTTTCGAAACGAGTATGCATCGTTAAATGAGTGTCCTAAATGCGGTGCCCCTCGATATAAGAAAAAGTTGTCTCCGGCAAAAGTCTTATGGTATTTTCCTATAATCCCGAGATTTAGACGGATGTATCGTAGTGAAACCGATTCAAGACACTTGACTTGGCATTCAGATGAAAGAATTATTGATGGAAAATTTCGACATCCGGCAGATTCTCCACAGTGGATGAAAATAGATAATGATTATCCTGAATTTGGAAAAGAAGCAAGAAACCTTCGCTTGGCATTGTCTACTGATGGAATGAACCCACACGGTATTCAAAGTATCTCGCATAGCACATGGCTTGTGATTCTTATGATTTATAACCTACCTCCATGGCTATGTATGAAGCGTAAGTACATGATGATGTCTATGTTAATTTCTGGGCCTAAACAACCAGGAAATGACATAGACGTATACTTGGAACCATTAATCGAAGATTTGAAGATTTTGTGGGAGAACGGTGTGGAGGTTTATGATGGTTATAGGAAAGAAAGTTTCAACTTGAGGGCGATGTTGTTTGGAACAATTAACGATTTTCCAGCATACGACAATCTATCCGGGTATAGCATTAAAGGTGAAAAAGCGTGTCCTGTTTGTGAAGACGGAACCGATACCATGCGATTGAAACTTTGTCAGAAGAATGTCTTTCTTGGTCATCGTAGATTCTTAACTTCTAAACATCAGTATCATGGATGGAGAAAAGCGTTCAACGGAGATACCGAACAACGTAGAGCTCCGCCTGGTTTGACAGGTGATCAAATTTTTGAAAAGGTGAAAGATGTGAATATTCAGTTTGGCAAGCCTTTTGCACATAAAGTTGTCACAGGTGGGTGGAAGAAGAGGTCGATTTTTTTTGAATTGCCATATTGGAAATCTTTGTACGTAAGACATTTTCTTGATGTGATGCATATTGAAAAAAATGTATTTGACAGTGTTATTGGTACGTTACTCAATATAAAAGGGAAGTCTAAGGATGGCCTTAAATCAAGGGAGGACATGGTAGACATGGGAATAAGAACTGAACTGGGACCCGTGAAGAAAGGAAGACGGACATACCTACCACCTGCTGTTTACACTCTATCTAGAAAGGAGAAAAAATATTGTGTAAGTTTCTGAGTGAAGTTAAAGTTCCAGAAGGCTACTCATCAGATATTAGAAGACTTGTGTCTATGAAAGACCTCAAGTTAAAGAGTTTAAAGACGCATGATTTCCATGTTATAATGGAACATTTTCTACCGATAGGTATACGTTCTATTCTGCCAGAAAAGGTAAGAAGCGCAATAACTAAATTGTGTTTTTTCTTCAAGTCAATTTGCAGTAAGGTGATCGATCCTGAGATCTTGCCAACATTGCAAAAAGAAATAGTTGTTACTTTGTGTGAGCTTGAAATGTATTTTCCTCCCTCGTTTTTTGACATAATGGTTCATCTTGTCGTTCATCTTGTGAAAGAGACACAATTGTGCGGACCAGCTTATATGAGATGGATGTACCCTGCTGAACGTTATATGAAAATATTAAAAGGGTATGTGAAAAATCGGAGTCGACCAGAGGGTTGTATTTCCGAAAGATACATTGTTGAAGAAGCGGTTGAGTTTTGTACTGAATATTTGTCAAATGTTCAATCAATTGGACTCCCCAAATCTCATGTTGTTGAAAAAAAAGAAGGTAAGAAGCTAATTGGAAATAAAGTTGTGAAAGTATCAAGCGTCGAACGGGATCAAGTGCATTTGTATGTTCTGCACAATGAGATTGAGGTTGAGCCGTATGTTGAAATACACAAGGGTGTTCTTCGAGGTTTAAATTCGAATAGAAATGAGAATTGGATTGTACGAGAGCACAATCGAAGTTTCATACCATGGTTTAAGGAACATATTTATTCAAAGTATCGTTCAGATCCCGCCTCAGTGACAGAAAGGTTGAGATGTTTAGCATATGGTCCAAGTTTGGTTGCGTTTTCTTATAGCGCATATGCAATTAATGGATACACATTTTATACCAAAGAACAAGATGATAAAAGTACTGTGCAAAATAGTGGTGTCACCTTGGTAGCTGAAGCAATGCACATATCTAGTGTGAAGGACTTAAACCCGAAATTTGCAAATCTGTCGTATTTTGGGGTTATCGAGCGCATTTGGGTCTTTGATTACGAGAAATTTCAGATTCCTATATTCGGTTGCAAGTGGGTTGAAAATAATAATGGTATACGGATGGATAAGTCAGGATTTTTGCAAGTGGATCTTAACAGGGCGGGGTACAAAGATGAGCCTTTCATTCTAGCCTCTCAAGCTAAACAAGTGTTCTATGTCACTGATCCGACAAGTACGAAATGGTCTATAGTGCTTTTCTCTAACAAAGTAATTGATGAAAAGATTGGAGACCAAGGCGATACTGGTGTTGACATTGAATCTTTTACCAGAAATGATCAAAATGAGAATGAATCATGCATTAGAAATGATCATAATGAGGGTATTTGGATCAATCCAACCGTCCGCGTTGTTAAGAGACGAGTAGAACATATTCCTACCAAGAAAAGAAAGAGATGTTAGTGAAAAAGGTAATAGTATATATAATTATAGACAATGTCATTCAATAAAATAGTATATATATTTATGCTACTTGATAAATCAATAGATGTGTATAATCTTATTTGTTTTTCTATGTAGTGCCCTCAACAACAAAACGGCATAGATTGCGGATACTTCGTTTTGAAGTTTATCAAAGAAATCATTCAAATGAATGAAATCGAGATTCCAATCACGGTATGGATTTATACTTTGTTTTATTACTTATCGGATTTTGCATATAATTTATTACATTAAACTAAATCATGCATATATTTTGTTTTGTAATGTAGTATTTTGATCAATACAATTGTCCATATTACTCGCCACGTCAATTGGAAGAACTCAAAGAGGAGTTGTGTCAATATTTTATTGAGCTAAGAATCTTATAATAAGGTACGAATACATTGTTGTGTGAAAATTGGTTAATTATGAATATATTGTTTTGTGTATACAAGACTGACCGTGTTATTATGTTCATATTGCAGGATCAGGACCTTGGATATATATGTAGATTATGATTGATTTACTTAGTGTTATATAGCTGATTTCTTAGGGTGTATTTTGTTACGTTTAAAAACATGTTAATATTGAATTACCATGGTGTATATATATTTTGGATATGAATTGATTATAATGGTATTTGTATATATATATATATAATATTTGGTATTTGAATTACATTTGGTATTTGGATTAAAACTAATATATATTGGTATTTCTAGATTAGATTGTAAAATACCGGTTTAAGAATTACAGGTTTGCTGCAAAAAAATGCAGGTTTAGAAAATTTTTAAATTTTAGATTTTTCAGTAGAAAATCTATGAAAGCGCTTTTAAGAAAAAAACGCTCTCGTAGGCCTACCTATGAAAGCGCTTTTTGATTAAAAGCGCTTTCATAGGTAGGCCTACGAGAGCGCTTTTTTCTGAACAAAAAACGCTCTTATAGGCCTACTTTAGATTGCTTGACACGCATTCTGAATACACCTATGAAAGCGCTTTTTCAGAAAAAAGCGCTCGCGTAGGCCTACCTATGAAAGCGCTTTTTACCAAAAAGCGCTTTCATAGGTAGGCCTACGAGAGCGCTTTTTTCTGAACAAAAAGCGCTGCTAAAACCTTTAGCAGCGCCACCTACGAGAGCGCTTTTAAGCGCTTTTAAAGCCCAAAAAAAAGCGCTTTCGTAGGTTATTTCTGGCATAGTGAATCAGGTTAATGAGAATGTAATATATAAATAATTTAAAAGTAGAAAAGTTGAAAGGTACGACGTATAAATAAATCAGGTTAATGTGAGTGGAGGTGCCAAGTGAGATGGCTCCTCCTTTGGGGAGTCTTCTGAAACATGATTATTTGCGTAATTTTTTCTGAAACATGGTTATTTGCGGGGGGGAAATTTAATACATAGTTATTCCAAAAAAAAATTCGTCAATTTAGTCTTTTAAATTAACTATTTTTGTCAACATAACTCCAGTGGTGTAATTTTATTGAGTATCTATTATATACATTATTATTTTTTAGGTTAAATATATGTTTGATTCAAATAATAAATCACCAACACCGAATATATTTTGACATTTCTTTATATTCTTCTCTCTTATCTTTCTTCGTCATCTTCCTCACTTTGAACACATTCATATAAACTTCCATATAATTTTTAAATAAACCAAGAAATATTTATATCATACTCCATCTAACAATTAAACTAAAATTTTCAAAATATAATTTTTAACCTATTGATTCCATTCTTCCAAATTTCAAAATTTTCTTCCATTTTTGTAGTTAAAATTGTTAAAATATGCTATACAATAATGTGGGAAGCTCTTCTTTAACCAATCATATTGTCCCAACATTGAATGATAGGTGAGTAGACAATTTAATGGTTTTTTTCTTTTTAAATTCAGTTCAAATTGCATTAACATATTTCTGGACTGACATTAGAACTTATATTATCTATTGTAACAGGTTTCCTACTTCCAGAATGTCCATACAATCTAGATATGGATTATCAATTTGCATCAGGGATGTTTTCTGACCAATATCCTCAAAATCCAATTATATCATCTGAGGAGACTCAATATGAGATGTTAGAACCTTGGTTGCTAGCTGAATGCGTTCCTCTTTGGTAAACTTGGTTGATGAAAAACATGAGATAGTAATGCCTCACAATGAAGAATTTATTTGTATTATGACCATTTTTGTTTATTGTATCTTATAGAACTATTTCATTTCAATGTATGCATTTTTAATTCTATTTTATTTTCCACATTGTTTGCTCGTTATTCTAGAGTTTTATAAAGTCTATAAATATATTAGATTCATATAGAAATTTGTACGTGAATAATATGAGTTGTCAACCATGAAATAATTTCTAATTCTGGATTTTTTTGAACTTAAATTTTATAGAAAAATGTCAGTAATATACTGGTTATTCAATTAATGTGATGGAACAATTAATAACTTTTGGAACAATGCAAGTTTTACGGTGAATTTAATTTTAATGAATAATTTAGCAAATGTATTAAATCATTGTCAAAGTAATAAACTAAAAGTTTGCATCTATACAAATTATTTCATTTCTGGTAGAAATATATTTTAGGTCAATGTATGGTCACTTTAAAACATAAAAACAGATTAAGTCAATGTATCGTCACTTTAAAACATGAAAACAGAATAATAGATTTTTTAAGTAGATTGGAACTGGTTGATTAAATCTATAAAATAAATAAATTATTGTACATATTAAATTGTAGATTTTGCATAAGGGTTTGTTAAAACAAATAAGAAATTTAACTTAGATTAAAAACAATCGAACCTTTTCCAAATTCTTTATTTTTCACTGTTTATTAATTGTGTTTATTCCGTAAAGTGTTTCTTAGTATCACAATGAATTAATAAGTAAAAGTGTTTCTTTGTATCACAATGAATTAATAAAATGGTTATCATCAATTTCTTAACTCATAATCCTCTCTTTTAATTATAATCCCCTAATGTCTTAGGTGAATTCGTATCAAAAGAGGCTTTATTGAAATTAATTTCAATTTTAGAAATGAATAATACATCATGCTTAAAGTAATTATTGATTTAAGTGTTAAATTAGATGAAATTTCAAAAGTTAGGATTAGTAATCTTCTCAGTTTGGAAACAATTCAGACATTTGTCAACATATAAAAAGCGCATTGAGCACAAATTTAACTTAATAAATACTAGGGTTGAATTTTCATGGATTAGTACTCGACGGTTACATAATTTAAATATTTCAAAATAAATTTATCTAAAGTCCTAATTAAAAAATATTCATGTTTTGCAGTTTGATGCAGGGTTGTTTGATGACGGGTTTGTGGCTTATTGTTGTGTTATTAAGGATTCTGATGGTAATGTTTTTTTTGCTAGCAGGACAGATTTGATATCGGTCTCACCTATTGTGGGAGAGATTCAAGCTTTAAGATGGGGACTGTCGTTGGCTATTAACCTCTGTTTGGACGGGATTGTGGTCCAATCTAGCTGCCTTAATGCACTTTAGTGTATCAATTCAGTAAGCAACTTTGTTGTCATAGATCATATTGCTACGGATTGTAGGTTTTTGTTAGAAAAGTTCATATTTTCTAGTGTGATATTTCTTAACATATCATGTAATTTAGAGGCACACAAATTAGTTGGCATAGGTAAGCTAGTGGGCTCTAGAACATGATTTGGTGATTTCCCCACTTTGGACTCTATTAATATAATTTCGTCCAACTTTTCTTCTTAATGAAAGCTATTTTTTTATAATAAAAAAAGTCATAATCAAACAAAATTAGACTACTTGTAGTGTTGTACTTGGAAGGAGTCATAGGGCATGGAAAAGGCATATATGTTTTTTCTTATCGTTCTTTTTAGATCCCCGTTTGTTGGTTAGAGTGACCCTCTTTTGGATAGGGAGTCATTTCTTTGAATATGTCGCTTGGATCCTTCGTATTGCTGTCCATAGCGTGTGATCGTGCAGGTAATGTATATTGGATCAACAAATGCCATAGAGAGAGTCATGGGAATTGATTGTCCACCATGAATTTTAAGGAATCAACTATCCATTATCAGAGTAGTTATTATATCCCAGGAAATATTGGATCTCGACCCTAGGTGGCTATAAATACCTAAATATTGTGATAGAGAAAATGCTAACTTAACCACATAAAATACATGTATTCACAGCTTCTATCCCCGCGTAACCTAGCTTTCAACCTCACAACAACCTTGAAATCTATGGCAGCCCCTATTAAAAATATTATATTATGAACCCTTGTCTTTCTTCTTTTTAAGTATGAGTTATTAGTTTATATTTAGGACTCAGATGTAAGTCATTCCGACAATTGATCATTGTAATAGAGTTAGAGTTTTTTATGCTAATTTTGCTCCATTTATATTTGAGTCTAGAATTTGACTTCTTCATAAAAAGTTGTAGCAATGGGTGTTAGCTTTCATATTCAACCATTCACATCACAATCGTAGTTACAAGACTCTAGATATGATATAAATAATATAGATACACCGTGATGTAAAATCTGTTGAGAATAAAATTGTAAATCTTGCTAAAAATATGATGCGTTCCTTTTTTGGATCTTTCTTTTTATTTCCAGAGATCTAGAAAATAAATTAAAATTATGTTTTCATGAGGACAAATGTTTAACAAGATGCTTGGGACAACATGTACCACTGGTTTAAGACAGATGACGAATTATGGGGACATATATCAGACACGATGTATGAGACATTGTATACCAGAAGAAAAAAACCAACTACACAACCAAGTAATGATAGTTTAACTTATATAAAATGATAAATTAGTAAAGTAATAAAGAACACAAGAGATTGGTAACCTAGTTTAGGGAAACCACATCTACGGGTGGAGGGAACTTTATTCCAAAAAGGAAATTCACTACTTTAAATTAGTACAATTAGTCTTATAAAAACACCAACCCCGTGATGTTCAATGTCTCTTCTTAATCCTAGTGACTTTCTATTTAAGACTCCATCTAAATATGAGAACCCCTCTCACTTTCTCTCAATCACTAATTCCAAGTGATCAAATTTAAAAGAAACTATGTTGAATATTGAACTTATAACTCATCTAAGACAAACCAACAACTATGCCATGTTACTGAAATGATAGTATGGTGTACACAAACACTTTGTTATCAAGCTTATAGACTTAGTATCCTAGAACAAAGTTTTACAACACAACTAACAAACCAAACTTTATACCTTAAGAAATGAAAAGGGGTGCTTGAGTGGTGCATAAAAATAAAAAAAGCAAAGACTCAAGAGATAAATCCTAACACAAGGAATCTTCAAAACATGCACACCCCCAAATGTGAGGTTTGAATCTTCTTAAATAGAAATACAATTTGGGATTTTCTACTTTTGATTTCTGGTTTAACTTCGTCCAAAATAATAACAAAAATTTTCGTATTTGATTTTCTCCATAAAAATCTCAAACAAAAGACACGATTTGTTATTAATTCAAATTTAAATCTCCATTTAAATTTATTTGATCTTCAACAACTACCAAATAAATCACGCAAATGCATTTCTAAAATCTAGCAACAAATCTGATTCAATCTCTACCAGAATTTCACTCCCAAAAATAAAACAATGTTGTACTGCTAAACTAAGTTCAGATGATGCAAACATGATGGAACATCGTGTTCCACATGTGTCACTTCTTCACCAAATTTGAAATAAAATTGGTATGTTGACTAAGACCATATTTTGCAGCATACATGTTAGAACATCGCATTCTACATGTTACACCAAAACATCCAAAATAACCCTATTCATATAAATCTTCTTTGTAGAGTGAATATTGGACCATGTCTTCCTTCAAAGTACATCCAATCATTTCTTTTTGACTGAACAATATCCATATCACTTAATTAAATCATATTTTTCATATTCTTGATGTAGTAGAATCTTTTCCAAATTGATTTGAAATCTTTCCAAATTGACTTGAGTTGACAAACTTCTTCCAACAGTTAACTTTTGCATCACCTGAAAAAGTCAATACCACAACTCTTCTCAACGATACACATTACTTGTTAAACCTATTGCTTAATAAGGTGGATATTTGTTCCACACATAAATCAAAATTGGTGTTGTTAGCACTACTACAGAAAAGTGATACCACATCGATTGGAGAAGTCTTACCACAACAGCTGACCAACCATTGTGAGGTAAGATGTGATTGTATGTACGATGCTTTGTATTATGCTTGAGCGAACTTTATGATAAACTATGTAGTGTTCTACTTATCACAATGTTTGCCTTAAATAATTGTTGTCATAAATATAGGGTCATGAGTTTGATACCCAACTACAACCAAAATTAAAGCCCTTAAAAAATCATATTTCACTACGACAATGTGTCCTAACCGTTATGGTATATAAGAGTTTATTGTAAAATATGGGATTGCTTGTTATTCCTTTGCCCTCATTAAGCATATATGATAATTCAAATAGATTTTTAAGATAATAATCTGAAAAAATCAAATCATTATTGAACAACAACTTAAACGATCCAATGTTTTTTAAATTGCATGCATATTGTAATTCATGATTTCCTCATCACCCCATAGAATTTGATTCAATCTTGAATTCTTCAATGTAATAATGATGAATTAATGTCTTTTAAGTCTTTCACACAAAATTTGATTTCCTCTAATTTATTTTTCAAAAATCAAAATTTGTGTGAAAGACTCGGACCGACATCCATTTATCAACATTGTTTTGAAGAATTTGTGGCATTGAATCAAAGTCTATAGACTAAAGAGTAAATTATGATCTACAAGATGCATGTAATTCAAAAAAACATTGGATCATCAAAGTTGATTTTCATGAATAATTTAATATTTCTGATTATTAACTTAAAATATATTTAAATGAATGCACGTTCAATGAGGGATTAGTAAAATAAGCAATCACATATGATATAATAAACTCACTAACAAAAGCATAAAATAATTAACATAGAGTGGGAGAACTTGATATTATATGAAAGACTCATATAAAATTTCCACAGCAAACAGAAGTTCGCAATTGTCTTAATCCATTTTCCCTGTAATGCATTGTTTCTCTCGTAAATATAAAAAACAAAACGCATCCAGAAATGAGGTATTACCACGGTTAATTGTATGACCGTTATAATTTAGTTTTACTGAAGGTATATTTTGTAGTTGTGGGGACTCTTGAAGCGGTGATATTAATATACAATAGGTGGCGTAGAATGGACCTACAAGATTAGCACTCTAACGCTCAAGTCAATTATAGATTCTAATATGATTGGAGTGAAAAATAGAGATAAAAAATATACATTGAATTCCTCGCATGCTAATTATATAAGTTGAATAATTTGATTGGGTCTTTGGACGATCTAGAAATTTATTTCATAATTATTATGTTTGATTTCATATATTAAAGTGAATGAAATAAAGTCGTTCATTTTTATCTCAATTATTTAATGTTTTAAATTTCTTTTCCTCAAAAAAGAGAAAAGGTACTAATTGTATTGTCCAAAATGTACAAGTCTATGTGTGTGTTCCCTTATAAAGAAAGGGAGACTCAGAGGCTCTAGTATGTATATTACATATTTGGGGGTGAGGTTTAGCTCACAGTGGCAACTAGCCCTGTACGGTGGTTCTTGAGGCTATTTAAGGGACTATCTCACGTGAGGTCAGAGGCCCCGTCGACGGCTGGCGCTGCTACATTGCTGAAAGGCGGTTAGACTGATAATGTTAAGGATACTAGGAGCGAAGTCCTCTCTGAGTAGTAGTGGATAGTAGTAAGTGTATATAACTTGAGATCCTCCCTCATCCCTTTGAAGGGTAATGTATTTATTATAGTTCTTGATACCTAGGATTTTATTGGGAAAGGTCACCGCCCCCGTAATCAAAAGATGGACAGTTGAATCTCTATTCCCAAGGGAGACATGTATTAGTAACGACTATAACTTTCTCTTTATACAAGACACGTATTATTCCATGTTTTTTCTCTCCATATGCGAGGAAAACTTAAGGGTGAGGTGATACATCCCTTCGGGTGACATCGGGTTGTCGCCTTTTTCTAGGGTGTCCCCAAGCGGTCGTCCTAGGAAAGGTTATTTGCAAATATAACACTACACGGTCCCTCAGGCACACCTCCTTTGGCATAGAGCGAAATGTATTTTTAAATCATCTTGTTAAAAATTTAAATTTGATAAAAATTAAAATAATGATAATCTTATGTTTTTATTTTGGCTTAATTACAGTTTTGGTTCCTCTATTTTTACCTAATTCACAAAATTGGTCCTTCTATTTTTAATTTAAACAAATTTGATCTCCTCTCGTACTTTTGCACTTAAAATTATTAATGTTTTCATTTTTTAAATGACAAATTTCTTGTGAAACATGACAACTCATCATATATAAACCTATTGTGGAATTTTATAGCTAAACATATAAGTTAAAAAATGAATATTGCTTTGATTTTCTATGAAAAATGTGAAAGGGGGACC